TGCTTATAATTTTCCCAATAAGAATTGAATCCAAATTCTGCACATTGAATAATTTTTGTTAAATTGAACGAAAGACATACTAAGTTTGATGTAAAAAATTAAAAATACAGTTAATATTCATAATTTTTATAATCAATTTTTGTTGTCTTCATTATTGTTTATTATTACTGTTTTTTTTTATTGTTAATAAAAACACGTTTGATATTTCTAATTTAATATTTTTATAGTTATTATTAGTGTATTGTTGTTATAACAATTATTACTTTTATTAGTGTCATTATTTTTGTTTTTATATTATTATTGTTATATTCTTATAGTATAACTTTTTATACCTACTACTAATATCGATATCTATATTTATTGTTATTATTATCATTATTTTTATTATTATTGAATTTGACAGGTGTTTACTTCATATTGATCTTCATTACTATTTGTAAATATCCTTGATGTAAGAATTATTGTTATTATTATCATTATTTTTATTATTATTGAATTTGACAGGTGTTTACTTCATATTGGTCTTCATTACTATTTGTAAATATCCTTGATGTAAGAATTATTGTTATTATTATCATTATTTTTATTATTATTGAATTTGACAGGTGTTTACTTCATATTGGTCTTCATTACTATTTGTAAATATCCTTGATGTAAGAACTTTTATTCAGAAATGTATTTGATTTGATTTTGTTTTGATTTGAAGGTAGCCGCTAAGATTTAAACTTTGCAAAAAATTTTGCAAATGTAATCCATTCACTGTTGACCTATATGAGCAACTCAGTTTTCATTTTAGATGTTAATCAGCAAAGAAGAAGATTGATCTCTATCTTCTTCTTGCAGTTGTTAATCATCTTTTCAAAAATTATTCAGATTTGTAGCCTAGTACCAGCTGAGTTTCACAATTAGGTTCAGCCGTACCATGGCGGACACTTCAAAGGCAATTATTGCCATCAGTTTTTAAAAAACATTGATATTTTTCAAAGAATGGCTGAAAAAGGCTATGCTTATAAAGTCTTTGGTTTTATTGAAACTCCAAGACAATTTAAAGATGTTGTTTTTTTATGTTTTGGAACAACGCTAAAAAAAAGCTTCAAAACTGAAATTAAGAAATTCAAAACATCTTTCCTATTTTTACCAATATGAGTCACACAGATTCTTTCAATGTTAAAGCATCAATTTTCACTCGAAATCTGCAGTGAACAAGCAACTGAAACATTGCACTCAAAATTAAATGCTTATTGATAAAGACACAAGCACTGCCCTGATCATCCAGAATATGGAAAACAACTAACAGCCATAAGTCGATAAGGGTTATCCATTGGATAACCCTTATCGGCTTATGGCCATAGAGATAAAATTTAACGGCAGCCAACTTAGCTTTGAATTTTTTTGCTATTGTAATATCCCTCAAAATTTCATTGCGCCTGCCGTAATTTACGTAATTTGGCCATAGAGATTTCTGCCATGGCCACAACGGTTCCTATTATACGTTACCGACGTTTTATTCAATCAATAAATGCCATACACTCTAAATTAAAAGGTGTTAATTTACACTAAAAAGGTGTGCAGCATGACAAACACCGAAACGGTGTTAATTTACACCGTTTTAGTGTTTTTCATGCTGCACACCTTTTTAGTGTTAATTTACACCGTTTTGGTGTTAATTTACACCGTTTTAGTATATTTCATGCTGCACACCTTTTTAGAGTTAAATTACACAGTTTTGGTGTTAATTTACACCGTTTTAGTGTATTTCATGCTGAAAACCTTTTTAGTGTTAAATTACACCGTTTCAGTGTATTTCAGGCTAGTTTCAAACAAAAACACATCTAAAAATTAACATACACATATTTAATTATAAAGCACATAAAAATATGTTCCTTTTTATGTTCTACTCATTAAAAAAGTTCTTTAAAAATGTCTTTATGGTTCATTTAAAGTTAATTTCAATAGTTGACTTGCTTTCATCGACTAAAGAAAAACATTTTTTAATATAAACTGCCAACATTAACCAAAATGATTATGAACTAAGGATACTCTAGGTTAAATGTATAAAAGAAACCATAGTTTAGCGTATATAATATCAACAACCTTTCTTGGGAAGCAACCACAACAACAACAACAACAAGATATTTGTCTCCTCCATAGTAGTCTGCCAGTTGCATGTCAGTGACTTCTGAGTTCTGCTTAATAAAAGTTAAGCGAGGATTTAAATAATACACAATAGCCAATAAAAGGATGTCTTCTTTGTAATTCTAAAATAAACAAACAATATAAAACATGATTTTTAATCCCAATTATTGATATAGGAAAGTCCTAACTTTTAACAAAGCAGGAAAAAAATTATTATAATACTCTATCATGACATACTTGTGGTGTCTTATATATATATATATATATATATATATATATATATATATATATATATATATATATATATATATATATATATATATATATATATATATATATATATATATATATATATATATATATA